CAGAACAGAAGCAGTGGATGTAGGATCAATTTTAAAATATTGGAGGCACATTGTGGTGACAGATTTGTGTATAAAGAGAAAATCTTACATGTTGTTCTTCTGTATGACCATAACAACATTCAGCTTCTTGACCCTAGAGGCATTAAACCTCGGCACCTCAACGCTTGCAAAAATACTGAAAAGAAAAAAAAGAACAGCAGCTTAGAGTACAAAATTCAACTAGATACTGCTATTACCACAACACTGATTTTTTTTCATCTATGTGGCACTTGAGCCTACGACACACTCTTAAAGAATTTCTGCAGTACTAAAAGGATCAGTAGTCACTTCTCAATGCAGAATGCCTTATGTTGCAGTCACACTAGGGGTTGTAGACCGTGGCATTACTGGAGGTATTGTGACCCTCTACAATGAACTTGAGCCATGAGACTGCTTTTGAAATGGCTGCTCTTAAGATGAGGAACAGGCGATAAAACAGCAATTAGACAGAATCAGTCTCCTATCAGTTTGTGATTAAATGAGGCCAATTTGGCAATTACAAGCAATCTGTTTGTGTCTGTCTGTCAGCACACGCAGCATTTTATGTTAGATAACAAATCTATATTAGCTACTTATATTCAGAGTGCAGCCAGAATTTCATAGATTTGAAAAAGAAACTAAATATTGATATAATTCCTGCAGGACAGCAATTTAACTACAAAGTGACAAAGGTGCCCATCAACTTTGCCTTTTTATACAATCTAGAACAAAACCCTTGGGCAGCGAGTCAAGTCGAGTCCTCTACAGCAGAAAGACAGACTGACTGCAGTGTGTTGAATCTCTCTGCATTAATAAGTTAGCTGGTACTTATTCATTGTAGGCCTTACAATATATAGTGCCTTGAGGCAACTGTTGTTGTGATTTGGCACTGTATGAATAAAATTGAATTGAATTGAACTATTTGAATTTGGGGCGATCGTGGCTCAAGAGTTGGGAGTTCGCCTTGTAATCGGAAGGTTGCCGGTTCGAGCCCCGGCTTGGACAGTCTCGGTCGTTGTGTCCTTGGG